CCTAATTATTGCACTATTCTCACAAGCCTAGTAGCTCAGATCGAACCTTATTTATACATAACATTCTGCTCATCCAATTTTACACCACCATCACATGTAGTGAAATTAATTAGCAAGGATCAAATTTTTGTTTTCAGCGCATTATTTCGATTACCTAAGAAATAAAACGTTTCAATGTGTTTTAGAGAGATTTTCAATCCGTTTCAAAAATAGAATGAAAAAAATAAAGAATTATTTTTAAAATATTGATCGAAAATACTAAAATATCTTAAAATACATTAAAACATATTGAAACAATTGTGTAAATACGTTAAAACATTACAAAACACCTCATAACATTATGAAACACTTTAAAATATTAAAATTTTGATTTCATCACTGATTCATTTCGATCTCTTTGAAAATAAAAACGTTTTAGACGTTTCGATCATTTTGAAACAAAATTTTAATCCTTAAAAATTAGTTATTATTAGAGGAAGTATAAATAAGATGAATTTATAGTTTAAAATTTAAAAAATTAAATAAAGTGGAAAAAGATATTTAAATGGTGAGAATAACGTCACTCTTCTCATTTTTTAAAATTTGAAATAAATAAACAACAAAAAAAATTAAATTTTAGGGGTACAATTGTAAAATCAAATAGATAATTACCTTTTGGTGGCATACTTTATAAGGCATGAGACCTGCACCATAATAATATGAAAAAAATATTCATTGCAATGGTAACACCGTGTCACCGTCGTTAGATGATTTTATCATTCAACTAGAAGATAATAAATAAGTAATGTGAATTTCATTAATCTTACGTGTTTGATTGGATGAAATAATAAATTTTTTTTATTTTTAAATTTTTAATTAAATAGTGATGTCAGGTAACAGTAATGATACGATGTCATCTTTGTATCGAATATTTACTCCATAATTACACCCATCTTGCACCACACGACATTTACAGCTTTGACACACATTTTGGAGTGGAGTAATTTGCAATTGTTTTCTCTCTCCTTCCCTCGCACTTAACCAAACGGAAAAGGTATCGAACTTGAACTGTGAAACAGATTGGAGAGAGAGAGAGAGAGAGAGAGAGAGAGAGAGAGCGCTTTTCCGTGAGCTGATAGAACTGAGAAGAAAACCCCTGCAGGAAGGAAAAAAGATGGACGATTACACTAGAGAGATGATGGACCTGAAGACCCTGGTCACTCGTACCCTAGAAAAGAAGGGCGTCCTCGCCAAGATCCGGGTATGACTTTCGTTTTCTCTCTCATTGATTCTCTTCGTGGATCGTTTTATACCAGATTGCTGTTATGTGTATGTATTTGTGTTTATATGTGTATATTGGTGGAAGGAGACGTAATCAATTGATGGATCGAGTGGTTATAAGTGTATATGTGTGTATGTGTGATTTTGTAGATGCACTTGAGGAAATGGTTTTTGGGTTGATTTTTTGTTGAGGAGCATGTAATACTTGTTCAAAAAGTAGAGAACTTGTTGGTAAAAGAGAAAGAATTGTCACTGAGCACCTTTTAGATATTAGGGTTTATACAATTTTTGTTGAAGTATTAGGGTTTTGCTCATAATGCCATCATTGAAGTTATTTTATCGAACGTGGAATTCTTATGATCAGAATTAGCAAAACGTGAATTAAAGCCCTCGGATTTTGTTTGGGGGGTGAGTGGTGGAGTACGATTTCCTCAACTCAATGCAGGCTCTATTTTTTACTTATTTTGACAACAGGAGCTCTATTTTCTATCGTTGCATTGTGATGGTAATTGCCAGGAGTTCGAACCATGGGTGAAATAGTTGTTTACCATTAATTCCTCCTTTTTCTATAGAGAGGAATGAGTGCTGTGCATTACCGTCTAATTGATTTGGTGAGGGTTGGGGAATTAGAGTCCCTAAGAATGTTAAATAGAAACAATGCTAAGATGCATTAATGCCCTTCTGTGTTGTTTGATTTGCGTGGTCTCAAGTCATTCTTGTTATCTACTCAATAAAAAGTAATACCTTGGAATTTTGTTTATTCCTTCTCTTCATATGGTTTACAAACATGGCCGAACTTGTGTTTCTATGCCAAAGTTGGTTGACACATATGATGTTCTACGTAGGCCGAACTTAGAGCAAGTGTATTTGAGGCAATTGAAGAAGAGGATAAGGCAATTGAGACGGAAGAAGGTTTGCCTCCTGCACTTTTGGGTAGCTGCAATGATCGTGCGAAACAACTGCATGCTTCTCCTTCAGGTTCCTCTTCACATCTAATTCTCATTTTCTTCTTTTGAATGGTTACTTTTGTATTGGAAATGGATAATGATTTCTAGCTGTGTTCTTTCAAAGGGTTTTTCAGTTTCATGGGCATAAATTCTGAGAAGTGTCTATGGTTTGATTCATAGCAATATTGTTCAATGAAATTCAGTTTGGATAGATCGAATTGTGGTGGTCTAAGGGGAAGTCCGGAAGTCCCAACTTGAACTTCACTCATTTAGACTTGGTTGGGGAGCAGCAACCTGATAACAATTAATCTATAAGGGATTGAATTTATAAGAATACATTTGCTGCTAATTGTCTTTTTGTTTGATATGGTGGAGGTATCTTGTGACCTGGCCAGCTCAAGCCATTTATTTTTCATTGGTTTGCAGGTCTGGAGTTAGATGTTGCCAATATTGGCATTTAGTCTTGTAGAAGCAACGTATAATTGCTTGATTTTTTTTTGTTTTTTCATTTTCCCTTGGGAAACTTATAATCCCTTTTCTAGGTGTAGGGTGTATTACTTCAATTAAGGGGTTTTTTTTGGTAGTTTAGTACAGGAGGCTATCAAAGACCAATTGTTGATATAGTGTTATCATCTTTGATAATTGTCAGCAAGCATTTAGAACAAAAAATTGAACGACCAAGAATTTTCATAGAATTTTTTCAGCTGGTTGTGCATTTGTTTTAACGTAATGGACATTTGTGACTGGATTTAGACTAGTAGACGCAGTAAATGAGTTTGAGATGTTTTCTAATGAGTAGGGGAAGTTTGGGTCATGTGAATTGAGTGAGAATGTTTTTGACTTCAACCCTACTTTTTTTTTCTAATCTGTTATTGCTGTGGAAGAAAAATTTGTGTCCTGGGATCAGGTTATGGCTCTTTGGATCCAATTCAAGTGCATATAGTCCCAAAAATAGCCATTTCAATCTTAACTCAACCATTTTATTTCCTTGCTTCGAACCTGAGGTCTACCAGCCCTTATATTAGAGCTCATCCTCCTGTAAGCAGTATTATATTTGCTTGTTATCTACTAACCAACAAATAGGAAAAATTGTGTTTTAACAGATTCAAACAGCGGGCAGAAGTCATATCTTGACCCATTTTGAAAGTGCAGAGTTTTGGCAGAATTTTCTTTTTGATCAGTAAAAAGTTTTAGAATAAAACTCAAAATTTGAAGGTAGTCGGGTGCTTGTCTAGAAGAAGAAGAAGAAGTAGAACTGGGTGACTCATGCTAAACCCTCCTGACCATAATGGAAAAGAGTGTGGACCAGTTTGAAACTCCACAATTACACACTCTCACAATGTACCTGCCTCTTGAATTGCATTTAAAAATCATATATGCTTGCCTTTTCGAAAGTGGTTTAAATTCCATATGGTTGTGTATCCTAATCTACTTTCCTTTTTTACTTCTTTGGTCGCACTTCAACGTGCGAAATGCAGGGAGGCTTTTAACTTCACTAATATGTGAATACTTGGATTGGGCACAACTGAATCACACAATAAAAGTTTATTTGCCAGAGTGCAATTTGGTAATCAAGTAAACAATTTATTTGTTGCATTTGATACTGCTGTTTTTGTCCAGCCATCCTTTGCTAAGTTCTTTAAGTCATCTTTTTCATAGGTTATGATGGATTTTATTTTTTTTTTACACTTAATGTAGCAAAAGGATTTTTGGAGATCTGAGTTGAAAGAATTTAGTAGCAAGAATGGATATGATCTTAACAGGAATGGAGACAGTGCTCCTTTGCTTTTGGATGTCCTTGAAGGCTTCTTGAAATATGAGGTACGTTTTTATATATTGCTGATATCATCCATTCTAAACTGATCTCATGTGTTGCATGGTACCATCATGGAATAATGTGATTATGTATTTCTATGTTTTATGATCAGTTATATTGCTAATTTATTCAGTGTAATTTGCTTTGTGCTTATGTACTAAAACAAATGTTGAATGGGATAAGAACAATTAATAAGGAATTCTTGCTAATTTTGATCAGTTGAAGTGTACCTTTCTATCAGGTGACACAGAACCGTTGGCAGATGGAGAAGAGAAAACAAAAAAGATTGAGAAAAGAACAATATTCCAATTCTGATTTCAAAATAAATTTCAATATCAAAGGTCCCTCTCAATTACAATAAGAATATTATTTATAGGTTTATCACATAGGGTTCTTGCACCCTCGCCTCACATAGATGTGAAAGTTTTCACACTGTTGTTCTAGTTAACATCAAGGTAGTTTGTGGAAGGTTTTAGAAACATCCTGATCCCAAATCAGTTCTATGATGAAAACTAGCTATGGGCAATGCCCAGGATTTGTTGTGGTAACAACCTGCTGCATGTGGGTTGAGGCATTAGGGTCTGTTCTCCAACATGCCGTGATACCTCCTTATTAATGTGTGTGTGTGTGAGAGAGAGAGATGAATACTAGGTATGATGGTAATAACATTAACATTTGGCCTTTCTTTTATATATTTGTTTTTGAATGATTCATGGCCAAAAGTAGATGTTAACACAGATGAATAGGAGTATAAGAAATGCTAGAATAAGGGCATTCATCATTTTAATGGAGGCATCAATAAGAATAGCTTGCAATATCGTCCAGAAAATATGCATGTGAGTTGTTGCAATGCAAATGCATTCACAAGACGAGGAGGGGAAAAATTCCGTGGATGAAAGCAGTTAGAAAAGACAGAATGCCTATAATTTACCCTATCTGACCCCACATTTAGCTGAATGCTGAATGAAGACTAGTGCCATTGGCTGACAGTCTATTTGATGCAAGGATTTGTTTAATTTGCAAATAATTTTTGTCTAGTTTCGGATTTATGTGTATATATGTTCGTCTACATGAAAGTTAATTTTAATGTGTTACATTTTTTAATCTTCGAGATGATGTTCTGTATGTTCTTAGTGTGTAAGAATATGGGATATAACAATAATGCTTTACGATCGATTGATTTACATATTTTAACCTGGTCATGTTAAATTATGCTTTTCACCATGGAGCATGTGTGTTTTATGTCCACCAAGCAAATTGGTTTATGTTTTTTGTTTTCTTTAGTTGAATTTGACCATTAATTGCTTTGTTCCTTTATATTCTGGCAGAATTTATCTCAAGCAAGAGGTATTGGAAGGAGAGTGAATCCTGAAACTGAATCCTCTTCCAATTTAGAAACTCGGAATGTTAGGAGACCTTCCTCATCATCTATCGCCGGGGGCTTACCTCCACTAGGAAGGTGCTTAACCAAGAAACTAGTTAGCATTTTTTTCCTGTTGTTTTTTCTCCACTTTCTTTTCCATTTTTTATTAATAAGCTTTAATATTTTGGATTCTTCTTGCAGGCTGGTTCCATCTTCCCAGGCATCTGGTAAGTAGTAAAATTGATCTCCCCAATGTCTGCTTGCTTGCAATTCTTGTGATCTTATATGCTTTTATCTGTAGATCGGAGAGCAGGGTCCTCCATCTCAGGCTACAGGAAAGATGAATATAATTGGAGATATGATGGTGATGAGCTTCCAGATGATGTAATCCGTGCTTCCACGGCCTTGGAAAACCTTCAGTTGGACAGAAAAGCTCGAAATCTAACTACTTCTTGGCGGTTTGTTTCTCACCCCAAGATTGAAAATTCTTGTAGTTTTGATTTAGTTGCTGATAAAAGTGAAATCATGGAACTATCACATTTTGGATAACAGTTTATCTGGTCTGAATTCCAATTGGTCTTAAAAGTACTACCAGGAGGTTGTTTTGGCCCAGTTCATTGTTTCTTTCCTCCTTGAGCTACTTTGCCTATCCTCCTACATAGAATTAGTCAACCGCAAATCTGATGGTCCATTGGTTAAGCAATTTGGTATTTGTGTTGTGGATTTTATGCTTTTATATGATCAATGAGTGTGGATAATAGGTGTGAATTTAGGGAGTGTAGAGCATTTTTTCTTGGATATTGGGTTGGGTTAGGGGGTCGGTATTGTGGCTTTTTCTGATTAACTATACTGCTCAAGTGAGTTCTCTTTGTTCTTAGGAGAGCATAAGCCTAGCAGTTTTATGTGGAGAGAGAGCAAGTGAGCGAGCTTGAGATCGTTGACCTTATGTTTGTTCAATTCAACCAAACTTAGCTATGTCTTAAGCACACTCAATTTAACATTTAAGGCCTAAACCTGCTGGTGGGCTTTCATGTGACGTAGAACTAGTTGATGTAAAAGTTCAGCAATTGTCTGTTCACCATTTTTTCCTTTCTCGTCTCTCATGTGACATAGAATGAGAAAAACCACAAAATGATTCTCTACTGTCTAAAATTGATTTAGGGCTGAGGTTTGACTTGAGCAGCAGCATAATTGCTAATGAGTGGTTTCTTAAGTAATCAGGCATGGATCTTGGTGGATTAATTTGTAGTCTTAAACTTGCAACACTGGTATGGCAGCACAGCCTTTTTATTTGATAAAAGAAGAATTTTATTATAGAAGGAAATCAAGAACAAAATACAATGTTGAAGACAAGGTATCCTCTAAAAAAAAAGAAGCAAAATTCATGTCAAAGAGAAGTCTTAAGGAGGAAAAAAAATGGGTAAAGAAGAACCACCTTCCAATTCTGTTAAAAGTCTGACAAAGGCAACCCTGTAAAACTTATGGTGGCTTTGATTCAAAGTGGAGCCATTCTTTTTGAAAATTCTTGCATTCCTCCCCATCAGAATACACAAAAGAAGTGCCCGAACACATTTCCACAGCACCTTCGCTTATTTTTTCTTTCCAAAAGTCCTAAAACTTATCTTCTACAACTTCTCATCAGTAGATGGACATAAATGCCTGTCTACTATATGCCCTAGTTCAAAATGACACTAGGTCGGGTAGAGCATTCATAAAGACAATAGAGAGACTACTTTTGCATATGCTACTCAAAATATAGTGTGGATTTGGTTTAACACGTTTATTTTGTTTTCAGAGTTTTCTGGGTTTGGGGTGGGGGAATTGGTAATAGGGTTTTTGAGAACGTAGCTGGAGGAATGCATTCCTTCTCGCGTTCCCTTTTTGTGGTCTGGAGGAATGCATGGTAGGTAGTGGGGAGTTTATGAGATGCCCTGTTTTAATCTGAGTCGTTTAAACAGAGTGGTAATGGCGGAGAATTCTTTTAGCTTTCTCTTTCTAGTTTCAGTAGATGTCTCCTTCCTTTCTAACAAAGAGATCTCACCGCCAATTTGTTTATTGTCAAGCCACCAAATTTTTACCTCCTGTCATAATGACAACCCGAGTCACCTGATTGAGGCTTTTTTCTCATTGAGTAATGGGTAGTGGAGTTGGCTTGGTTTTTTTTGTTGGGGGGGCGGGCGGGCTGGGAGTTGTCTCACTCAAGTATGCTATTTTTTTTTTTTGCTTTCCCCATTGATCTGGCTTCTATAATTCAACAATGAAGCAGTGACAAGCTTGCACATGCACATAGCATGAAGTCCGTTTGCTGATCAAGCCAATGATATTTTTTTGTTTGTCTGTTGATGGTCATGTCTCACTATTTTCTCATATAACATTGACCAAGAATGCTAGAGTTCATGTATGCTGTCAATGGTCGGTTACCTAGTTTTACTTTTGTCTTACTGAGTTGTAATGTGAATTCCGGTTCATAGAATATAGAATACATTTTAATTATACTTAATGAATTTGGTTGCAGGCATGCAGGGGATGGAATCTCTGAGGACAATGGGAGGGTAGACCAGATGTAGCTGGATGAAATCCGGACACACTCCTTTTTCCATGTATTCTATTTGTCGTGCATCAATGTGTTATGTCATCAGTTGCCGGTAGTGATGTTATGTAAGATTTTCCTATACATTGTGTATTGGTGTTTTAGTGATTTGTATGAGCTTTCTTTTTCTTTCCCCTTTTCCATTTTCTTTCTGTTCTTCTCTCTTCAATGCTTTGATATGTTCCAATTAGGATCTCATTTTCTGTATTCAACAAGGACAAAACCCCATTTTTTTCTTAATGATAGCTAGAATTCAAATGCTTCTTGTTATAATGATTTTTAGTTAGAGATGGAAAATGTGATTTGTGTGCTTGGTTATTCAATGCTGGTTATAATGATTTTTAGTTAGAATTCAAATGTTTCTTTTACTCGGAGTTTGGGAAACAAAATTTCCTGACCACGTGAGTTAGGTAAGGAGACGAACTTCTCATGTATGCAAATTATGCTGATTTGACCTTCTCTTGTACCTTAAACGTTAAATCTCTTCTTGGGTTTATTTTCTTGAGTTCCAACTATGTTATTTGGATATGCCTATGTTTAGTGTACCGGTTTGAAGTCTAATATTTTCATTCGTCATTCACACACCTAGTTATATGCTCTCTCTGGGTAGTCACCAAGGATAGTTTTTTCTTTTATTTCTTGGGAGCATCCAGTATTATGTGGTCACATGCTTGATGTGGTTTTGCTCATGAAATGTATACATAGCAGCCATTTCTCTGAAGTACTAACAGTTGAAGCACTACTTTCTCAAGTTCACAAGGGTATATCTATCTAATATTATGAAGTTAAATTCTTAATTTACACAAGCGTACAACAATGATTAAGATTGATTTAATTTTTATTTACTTTGTTCTAATGATAAAAAATTCATGCCCAAATTTATTTTTTTGCTAAAAAAACGTTTACTTTTTTCCATGACTTTTGATGTTTGACAATTTAATCGGTGTACTCCCAAATATTTAACAATTTCATCAATTTACACATCTCTCTCTTCGATTTAATTTTAAGTTGCGTAATTTAGAAAATTAAATTATTATTTAAAATATAAATATTATAAGATTAGTTTGATTTTTGATATTGTACAATATTTTCAAACACGGAGTAATTGCTAGTATTTATATACGGGGTGATGATATATATAATGGTAACTTCTATGGCGGTAATGATTTGGTTGTAGTGGAATCGGGGTTGACACTACCATGCATGCATCTGTTAGAGGCTTTATTTATGTTGCAAATCTTATTTACTTACTTCAATTTTTAAGATTCAAAAGTAATTGAATACGTTGATGTAGAAAGCGAATTGGAGGTTCCTCCAATTACTTGGGCAACTTAACCAATAGTTACAATTTACGAAACTCTCTCTCTCTCTCTCTCCCTTTATATATATTTGAGCTTATTAAAATTTGAGTTAATTAAATTTAATTTTTTGTATTAAAATTTAAGCCTATTAATTTTTTTTACGTATTAAAATTTGATTGGATTTAAATTCAACTTGAGCTATTAGTATCGATTAAAATTCGATTCGAGTTGATTAAAATTTATATTTTTTTAATTGAGTTAATTAAAATTTATATTTTTTATGGGCATGAATCGAATTTCAATCAACTTAAATTTTAATACGTAAAAAAAATAAAATTTTTAATCGATTCGAATTTTTAGTTTTAACGTAAAATGGTTAATGGTTAGGAGTTATTTCATCTTTAATTAATTGATTGCTGACTTGTCATCTGTCTATTGGCTAGTCGGATACCACCGCTTCAACAGGGCAGCGAAACAAAATTTAAACTCATAAGACAGCGTATAATTTAGTGACATATGGACATGTCGTCCTTATTTATTGATCTCAAACCATTCCCACTCTACAATTGAATTCAATCCAACAACACTTCACTGAAAATTCTCAAAAAAGCCATCCAAATCAGGGTGGTGGTGGCGGCGCTGCCATCGGCGAAGCTGGTTGTGACTGCGGTGATGCTGTTACTCGCGGTGGCGATTTTGGGTGGCGCTTCTTCACATATTTCCGGGCCCAGACATGTTTCCCATTGATAGTGTACTTTGCTCTACCTCCACCGCCGACGATAGCTTCAATGACCGACGCCGAACGGGCTATAAGTCGTGCATATAGTGCTTGCTCATCAGCTGGGACGTCTTGCATGTAAATGGTTTCAATAAAATCTCCAAATTTTCTGTCAATATGAATAAACCTAATAAATTTGGTGACAAAATTTTCAATGCAAAAAGAAAAGACAGAAAAATAAATAGGACAAGGTGTATTTTTAGTCCCAAAAGTATGGCCCCAATTTTTTCCAAGTCTGTTCATTCTACCCACTAATGTTTTTGAGTCGAGTTTTAATGGTCCAACCGATGATGGTGAGTTTTAAATCCGTCGATAATAGAACACGTCACGTGCCATTGAATTAAACACACCTCTCCGGGGACATTTTTTGATATCAATTTGAAAGACCATTAAATTCAAATTGAAATTTTAGGGCTGGGTAAAATTGATAGTTGAAGAGTCAAAAGTGACATTACAGGGTTAAGTAATACAATTGAAAATATCATTTGATTATGAAAAATATTATTTAAACTTAATTAGAGGATACCTAATTGAATGCATTCATTAAATTAAAGGTGAACTCTATCCAACATTGAAACTCATAACTATTTAATGAATACATTGAATTAAGAATCTCTCAAAATTAATTACATATAGGATTGATTGATGATCATGTATACACACTGATACATATGCATATTAAGAGGAATATGAAAAGACACAGAGGGAGAAAGGGTATCTATCTACCTGGTAAAGAAGTCTCTAACTTCAGTTTCAGATATTGGGTATCCTTTGGAGAAAGTTAAGAAGACACTCCTGTCATCTGGTGAAACTTCTCTCTCTTCCTCCGTCACAGTTAGGTTAACACGGCTCAAAATATCACTCAGTTCAGTATTCAAAATCTGGCGCTCTGTACTCAAATCATAACCCTTCACATTCCCTACACCCACCACATGCCCAGAAACCCCAATTTTCTCCGAAGAAGGCATACCTTCTCCAAAATTCACAGTTCCGCCATGACCCACATGAGGAATAGCTTCCACACTTGTATTAAATGGCACATTTATAATTGGGTGATAAGACCCACCCCCCACCATTGTTCCTCTCACTCTCCCTCCTTCAGTTTTGACAGAACTGCTAGACTCACCGACTTTGCCAATCATTTGAGGGACAGTAACTCTTCGAAAAGCCCTAGCACAGACCTCATTCACAATCTTCGTCACTCCACGAAGAACATTGATCCTGTTCTCATGAATGAATTGAAGAGTAATACCACTATCTGTCACATTTTGAAGAGCACAAATAGTTGGACCATGAAAAGAAAAGTTGTCGCTTTCTATGCATTTCAAGCAAGTGACAGTTTCATCTGCAAGTTCATTGATCAAAGTGATGGGCAGAGACAACAGTTTATTCACAACAGGAGAGCCACGGCCTGATCTTTCGAGCCACAACCAGAATGCCATGACTTGCATCGATTCCGCCTGGTCCCGGCCAAGTTTGAGAATCAACCGTGAGTACAGTTCTCGGTCAATGGAGTGAAACAGGTTGAACTGTTCATTGGTGACTGTGAATATGGTTGAAGAAGAAGTCATTGTATCTGGTTGTAATTACTAGTAACCCTTGGTGGGAAATGGGTAATTTTTTCTCTGTGGAAAATGATTTGATTTATATAGATATGAATGGATGTTAATGGTGGCTTTTCGGTGGTGACTATTGAGGATGAAGCACCATTTCGCGGTAATTTTTTTTCTGTGAAGAAGGTTTTGATTTATGTGAAGATGAATGGACGCCATTGGTGGCTTTTGGGTGGTGATTGTTGAGGATGAAGCAGGTGCCATTGATGAAGACTGTAAGGAAAACAAATGTAATAGAATAACCTTTTATGTGTTAGGGTTTCAAACACAAGTACAACGGTTTAATCTTTTAAATTTGAGACCCTACTGTTTCCAATATTCTTCAAGGAACTTGATAGTATCTACAATCATACGAAATAAGGGCAGAAAAACTCCCTTTCCCCACCTTTTTTTCTTCCTTTCCTTCCTTCTTTCTAAGCGCCCTTTTGAGTTTTGGAAAATGCTAAATAGGCATGAAAAAAAATTGATTTAAAAATTTGACTTAACGAATCAATAATTCAATACAATTAAATAGATAGTAAGTTTCAATAAACACTAAAATATATCATTAAATTAATAATAAATATAACAGCCACATCATTAATAATAAATATAACAGACAAATCATCAAGTCAAATTTATTATTACTCTCAAAGGGTTTCTTCTTGACATGTATACTAAGAATATGTTGGCATGATATCATTCTGCATAGATAGCCTCAATTGCTAGCATCTGAAATCAATGATAGGAGGATAAAATGCATTTTCCCTGGTCTTTCGCATAAATTCCTCGGTGGAAAGTGAAAATGAAAGAAAAAAAAATAATAAATAATATATTTTCACGCATGTATTTGATTAGAATGAAAAATTTACAAAAAATTTTAAAAAAAAATTATTTTATTGTTTGAAACAAAATAAAGTTATAAGAAATTTTTTATAATTATCTAAATTACCCTTAATTATATTAAATTAGTCTGAAAAGAAAAAAATATGTAATTACAATTGAACGTTAATTTTTTTTAAAAAGTGCCTCGAAATCTAATTCTAAGTTAATCACCAACAGAAAAGTTTTTTGGGCCAAATTAAATGATTAATCAAATTCGTACAAATTTTTTTAAAAATTAATAACTAATAAAATATTTTCAAACAAAATAGGGTAAAATGAGAAGTTAGCTATAGATCACAACTTTCTTATATTTCCTTATTTTTTTTACAAGAAAAAAAATTGGTTATTTGTGAGAAAATTCAAACATGAAAGAAATTTATTTTTTTTATTATTTTTCTTTTCATATTTACCAAACACATTAAAATTTTAAAAAATTTCTCTTTAATGCATTTTCTATCATTCTTCCGCTGAAAAAAACAAACCCTGGTGGAAATAGCCCTTTTTTCATGTCACGCTGATATTTATCATAACAATATTACTCCGATAAAGCATACTTCAAAGTTGAAAGTGGTGGACTTTACTCATTCTTCTATCCTCCCTTAATTATTAATTTTATTTCAATTAATTCATTTCATCTATTTTCACCGTTAGAATCTAACAGAAGAAAATAGATGAAAAGACTTAATTAAAATGAAATTGATAATTGAAAGATTAAATTGACATAATTAAAAGTGCGGGGGAAGAGATTAAAATCGAAGGCAATTTCCTTTTTTTTTTTAAAGTCCAAACTATTTATCACACCCACCGGCTAAAACCCTCAATGTAGTCTGTAAGTATTGGTCCGACTCCTCTACGGTTTAGCACTTATCACATGAAAATGCGGTTTAACGAAACATCGTAGTTTTAGGCTTTTTTGCCTTCTTTATTTTTTTTTTAAAAACCCTGCACAAAAATGATGTCGTTTTAGCCAATTTCTCTTATCAAAAACAGAGATCCCCTTCTTCTCCCTTTCTTCTTCGTCAAACATAGCCTTCTTCTCAGCTCATTCTTCGAGTTCTTCTTCGTCAATTGTAGTGAAGGCCAATAGAATCACAATAATGAGTCACTTGTTCTGAATTAAATCTACTTCATTTATACAGAGATTGTCATACAGTACAATATCGAAACTAGATTTCATGCTTCTGTTTAATTTTTGAATTAATTCTTTCATTCATTTTTCGCTTGGGTAGTCTTTCTTTCATTCATTTTTCTTGTTTTCGTTTTCATTCATGTGTATTTTTTTAGTATATGCATATGTGTAGTTTTTAAGTTTGGGTCAAGACCTTGGTGAATTTATGAGTAGTTTATCTAATTTCTTATGCTTGGTTATATGTAAGGGTTTTGCTTTGCACATCTCTCCTGAAACTTAAAACAATTAATATTTTTTATTTTTGTGGTTAATGTTGTTCTAATTTATCATGTCACACTAATCTTCATCATAACCGTATTATTCGATAAGTGTACTTCAAAGTTCAAATTGATTTATCTAATAAGTTTCACTATTTTTAATATGAGATTATTGTAAAAGAAAATGATGGACTTTTGTCATTCTTCTATCCTCCCTCAACTATTAATTTTATCTCAGTTAAGTCATTTCACCTATTTTTACGATTAGAATCTAATGGAGAAAATAAATGAAAAGACTTAATTGATGAAATTAATAATTAAATGATTAAATTGAGATAATTAAAAGTGTAAAAAAAAAATTTAAAATTGAAAGGCGATTTCTACCTTTTTTTTAGTCCAAACTATTTACCACACCACACCTACCGGCTAAATCCCATTTAAATTTAATGAACAATGTTTTATTCTTTTAAAAGATTCGATGATGATAAGTTCCTTAGATCGGAAAGGAGAAATCAAGTACTCTCCTTTCGCTGGGACATTCTCATCAGTTCCTTAGATCGGAAAGGAGAAATGTCGGGTACAAGATTTCTGATCGTAAACGGCGTACTATCACCTTCCTCCGATACCCCTCCCGTCTCTACCGTACTCGAAGCTCAGCCAGGTGCAGCCCCCACTGCTACTATTATTGTCGGAAAATGTTTTCTCAAAAAAAAGTTATTTACCAAAGCGTGAAATGTAATAATCACCGAACAGGTTACACAATCTGTTGTCTGATAATGTTTTTGTGAGAAAAAAAAACGAAAAATATTGCGATCACGGAATAATTTACACCGAAATGTTATTGGAAGTGTTTTTGAAAAATCCAATTCTGGATGCATATATGCAGTCAACTCACAATTACGGATCAATGCTATTTTCAGGTGCTTATACGACCTCTCGAACTCACAACGCTGGTTTACATCTCTTGTTCTGGGAAAGACATCTACGCAGACTTGCGGAATCTGCAAGAATTCTATTCAGTTCAAACCCAAATCTCCTCTTCAAACCTGAAAAATCTAAAAAAATCCCATTTTCGTCACTAAATGCACAATCATCACTGTGGGACCCAATGATTCGGTCTCTTGTTGAGAATTCGATGAGAGAAGTAATACCCATTGCACTGAAAGAGAGGAAAAGTGGTGAGGAATTGGCAATCACAACTCTTGTCAGCGGCAATTTGGATAAGTTGAGTGAAAGTGAGGGTTTAGATGAAGAAAGACTCTCAAGGGTTTTTGATTTGTATGTACATGTGGGTGTGTATGTTCCTACTGTGTTTGGAATTACAGAAAATGCAATGCATTTGGCCGTGGTGGGTCGCGGTAGGGATGTTGCAAATGCAAAGTATGCAGATTGGGTCAGGTAATTATATTCAGATTGCAGTTTTTTAATGATGTGTTTTGTGAAATGTGAATATGTGGAATACGTTTTCTTGGTAGGCTGAGGAAGGCTTTGGAGAAGTTGAGGCCGCCTTGGGCATCTGAGCTCTTGCTATCAAATGATGGTGATCGAATACTTGAAGGTTGTTTGACGAATTTTTTCGTTGTTTGCCGCAAGGTGAGCTATTAAGAATCGTAGTATTGGGATATAGAGTGGTGTCGGTTTTAAGTTAGTACTATGTTAAAATTTAGAGTGGATGGAGAGTATATGTCAACCTGTTAATTATTTTAACTGATGATTGGGCAATGCATTTGTGTTTTTCGGAGTATTCAATTTCTCACCTATGAACCAAAATTGAATTTTCTTCGCTAGAATTGTCAAAATTACTTATGTTCTTGATATTGTTGTGATCTGTTGCATGGTTGTTAAATAGTCATACATAGACTTTTGTAATGATTGCACCAGCTGGAATCATTTGGTCAACTAGATGAAGCAAATAATTAATTATGCTCTCAGAAGTCCCTAAAATTTTTGGAAGTTAAACATACACTCATATAAGGGTTTGTATGTCTAAAATCTCATCTATTTTGGTTACTTCTTGACTCACCTTGGTCTTACTGTAATTTACAATCAAGCACAACATTAATAGAGGGACATGTATTTAATCAAAGTAATCTCAAAAACCCTTTTGGAGTAAAGGGTAAACATCTCTTGGTAGACCACAATGTTTACAAGTTGCATTGTCATTTTTGTGATGGGCCGAATCAGTGGATTAACACTGCATCTTGGAGTCTCAAGTTTATTGTAGACTTTAATATGTTGTCCTGTATCATAGTCATTTTCAAACCATTTTTATTTCCTTATCTTTTATTTCTATGTGTCTTGAGCTTGTATTGACTTCTTTTCCCTCTTTCCTTTTAACTTTTAGAGGCTCCTTTTCCTTTCATGTACTCTTTTGTTCAATTTTTATAATATTCTCGTGTTTAATCTTAAAAAATTTGTTGTCAATCAAGTCAGCACCAAAGTTGTACTTGTAAAGGCTTATTTAACCAAATTTGAATGAGAATGGAACTTGGCTTTTCAGATAGGGTTTCTCTCCATCTCGAGTCTCAAAACAAGTAATGCTATTGGAATTATATAGTTGTTTATAGTTGTCTTTTCTTCATTACCTTGTGTTCACTCTTGATATTTTTTGCATTGGATGGCTTCATGAAACTTGTGTGCAGGATAAAGATGAAGGTAATTATGGAGCTGAGGGGAGTGATTTGCATGATCACAGAAGTGCTTATTCTATTGAAATACAGACAGCTCCTATCAATGATGGTGTCCTTCCAGGGATCATACGCCAAGTAATCATTGAGTAAGTCCTTCACTGTTGTGCACTCAACCTTTTTTGTTATTTTTCCAACTTGTTTCCTTTAAGATGGAGAAGGTAGCATTTTGCAGTAACAAATTTATTAATTTCTTATTCTTAATTAAGTCCAAGAATAAAAATGTGTATGTTTCCTTCTCTTTCTAGTTTTTATAACATTAAATCATATCCATAGATCATGTGGAAATGGTTCCTTCAAAGCTGACATAAACTTTTCAATGCGTGGGTGGTGTTGTATCATTGTTGGTTCGATCCTTATGTGGTGTTGATATCAAACATGGAGATCTTTTGTTTGTGGCATTTTTTTTTTCGTTTACTCAGATGAGATTAGAACGCATGTATTTCCTCAAATCCCATGTTTTGCGTTGATGACAAACAACTAACAGTTGCAAACAGAAAATTCACAGGTTAATTATTGTAGATTTTTTTTTTTTTGCTCTCAAGTATCAGAGATCAGCTTGAGAATAAAATTCTTACTTATTGATAAAGAGCCTATAGCATTAGAGATCAGCTTGAGAATAAAATTCTTACTTACTGATAAAGAGCCTATAGCATTTTCTTGTGCACATCATGCTGATATACTTAGAGCCTACTTTGCAAAATTTTTTATTGGTTAATCTCTCTATTTTTTCGTTTTGACACCTGTAATTAGCTAAGCATTTTATCTGAATGGACGGGTATGCATAATAGAAGGGTGCTCATTGTAGGTCATGAGGTAAGGCCAAAAGTAGGGTGCATCTTTTACTAGAGTTCTTCAGGCAGCTCCGGTACCATAAAGATTGCCTGGATCTGGAGAAAATCCAGAAGAGGGTAATCTTGATTTGCCCACTTGTGATGCCCAGATTCCTCTGGCACTGGATTGCATTACTCTTGTTTCCATGAACAGTGGATCTTGTGTTGGTCACTGGTTATGTATTAGACTATTAGCTGAAGGCATAAAGTCCAATAAACTGTATATTGAAGTTGACTCTTCAAAGAGCCTGTTGGATACGTAGACTTCTGTTACACTTTTTGGGTGAAGCAATCAATTAAGATATGTAAAATCACATGCAAACACACATACACCTGCATGCAGAGACATGCACATGCAGAAAATTATATTCTTTACTTCCACTGAGAGCATACTTCTGTTGCTTGGTGGACAAGGGTTGTCGGTTATAAGAGCAAACTTTACTCGGTCACAAAGACGTGCATGTCCGGAAAACATATATATTACTTATTCTATGATAGATGAAAATAAATAAAGGTTGCACCGAGATTTGAACTCGGGTTATCGGATTCAGAGTTCAGTGTCCTGACTGCTAGACCATGGAACCGTGTGTTAGACATATTTATTTCTTGCATTTATGAGCATACTTTTGGAAAAATTTAGTTCATTCACCCACTCACATGGAGGAATGTATTGATTTTTGTTTCTCTGTTAAGTGAAAAACAAGGAAAAGGTTCCACCGAGATTTGAACTCAGGTTACTGGATTCAGAGTCCAGGGTCCTAACTGCTAGACCATGGAACCATTTTGTTAAACATGTATTTCACATTGATCTATAAGCTATATGTTCTAATGCAGATTAGAATTGATTGTTAGGAAATTTCTAAGGGCCATTTTGCGAGCAAGTTATTTGAGTTTTTTTACTTTTATGGTTTTTATTTCTAACGTGAAGAAGAAGGCATTTATTTTAAGTTAACGGTAGTTATTTACACTTACTGAAAAAAATCAGTCATTATATACGAAGTGAAAAAATTAAAACAAAAAATAGAAAAAAGACCACCCAGTGACAGAGTGAACACAAATGAAGCAACCAAAGCTGAGAAGCATCACTTCGGAGTGTTAGGTATGTAAGAAATTTGCTTCCAGTTCTCAGAATTGACATCTTTCTAAACATTCCAAAGAAGCAAGAAAACTTTAGATATTAATAATAAACTGCTTCTGTGATCTTCAAGTGATTTGCATAATCAACTTCATCGGCAATCAATTCTGTTTTTTCTTTTCTTTTTTTATTTTATTTTATAATTTTGGGTTTGTATGTGGTTCCTGATCATGGGTGGACAACTTTCCTCCATAATAATTGCGAGTATCATGACAAGTGAAAATGAAGTGATGTGGGATTGCAACATCTAAAAATTTTGAGATCTGCTGAAGGCCCACGGTCAGCTGTGTTTATATGTTTTGCTGATGGCTTTCGCCCCTCAAGCATCTGTCTCACCAATGCCAGGCATCAGATATGGTACTAATGCCAAACATGGCAATGCCTTTAGTTTGAGTGTTAGTGTGTCTGTCAATGGAACCTTTACTCGTCACCAAGCTAACTATCATAAATGGAAATGTTTTTCCTCCTTTTTGAACATATATGCAAAAATGGAAGACTATTAAAACTTTATGTTAACAATTGTCATGGACCTGAGTAGATCAATTAAGTCAAACAGTATGTTCATACTCAAAACTCTTCTGGTCACTCTCCATTTTGGCTTCCATTCATGAATTTTGTAACTTGGAACTTGATATTTAGTGACATTAGAGGACATGCTTTGGGATTGATAGTGAAACTATGTGGTTGTGTTGGACTAGGGTTCTCAATTCCACTCACCACTATTTATGTTGAGTGTTATCTCTCCTAAGAATTCCTAGGCATATTTCGTCCCAAAGCTGGCAAAAAGCTTAACTTTTTGGTAAGCTAGGAATCTAAAGATCGAATATGCGAACTATGTCCATGTAACGATCTCCAACTTATGCAGGGTATGCTCGAGAAATGGTGTCCCATTTCGAGAAGTTACCCCGTTATGGTCAAAGCGTGAAATGTGGGAAGAAGCATTCACAACAAGTAAGTTTTTAGTTGTAATATTTTTCAGAGCTAGGTAATCACACAATTTTGCTTTTCCATATTGAACTTTGAACCTTTTAACTTTTAGCTTCTGGTTAGATAAATGAAAAAAAAAAGCTTTTAGCTTTTAGATCAGTGACTTTTCGATGTTTGTGTCGCTTAATCAACTATCTGCTGAATTAGTTCTAAGTAGCAGCTCAGAGAATTAGGGTAATCAGGTGCCACTTGTAACTTTTCTAATGTGGAGGTCGAATCAAAGTTCCACATGCATGTCTTCTATTCATACCTTTTGTATGCCTGTTTGCCCCTTTCATGGCTAGTTATCCTAGTTTCTTAAATGTAGCAGCCCTTCAAGTGTCCCCATTACAAATGCTTGGTGATCAAAAATTAGTTCTGATTGTTTTTAAAACTAGAGTGAGCATTTTTTGCGCTGTCCAGTCTCAGAATCTGTTAGTTAGAACTTGTTGCTACCATATAAAGACTATTTAAGCAGAACTTTGTTTCAGATAGCTTGAGGCTTTTGCAGCATGTCGAGACAATTTGTGCTCCAAGGTCATGGGAGTTGCTGGAACAAAAATCTTGGAAAGGTTTAACATGGGAAGAGAAGCGGTTTAAAGTGCGTGAACTTCTAATGGTAATAAGAGATTAGGGATTTTAGCTGCCACAGATGTACTGATTTGTTCTTGATGTTTTCTGTTTCAATATCAGGAGGGTCCTGGGAGGATTACTGCACTAATTCAGGTAAATGTTTGGATTGTTTACTTCTTGCTTTGCACCTTGTCTCAATGTAGTCTTGTTTTATTTTTTGGTCGGACATGATGCAGTCTTGTTGATCTGTGTTAAGTGAGGAATGATTAAGATATCAGCAGCCATATGTTGAATTAGTGAGGGACATTTTCATGGTTTCATTTTTCTTAAAACAGGAGTGATTAGTGAACCATGCTTTAGAAATATTCTAATTGTACTTCACGAAGCTGTCTTCTGTTTTTTCTTTCTCTTTACTCATCTAATTTAACTGAAACAAAGTGGGACTTGTTTGAAATGTTGCTTTGATACAATGCAACGCTCCATTGAGGGCCTTAGCAATACTGAATTAGATAGGTGGGACATTTTTTATGCCTTTTGACCCTTTTTTTCTCATGGGCCAGCAGCAGTTTGGAGGACCTTTTAGGATCCATTGCTTGTGTTGCATCTGATGGCTGATGCACATACTTCATAAAACCTGCCTAGTTATCTCTTTGCTCAGAGAGAACTCAAGGACGTTAGTACTAGAGAGAAAATGAATTCTAAGAATTATATTAACAAATTTGGGATTATCTTCTATGAACAAAAGAAAATGACTCTCTTTCCGGTTCCTCTGAGAATATCTGATTGCATAAGAGCTTAAAACGAGAGTTAGGTTCCAGTACCACCAACCATTGAAATATGCTCCTGCCTTTTCAAAATATATAGCATATCATAGGCTTATTATATTACTAGGAGAAAAAACGTGGAATGATTTCCGTTTCTAATATACTACGCCATAAGGTTGAACATTATTACTATTAGGAAGACCAACATTTTCCTCGTGGTCATGTGAGCCTTGTCCAACATTTTCCTCGTAGTTTCATTTGACATAGTATCAAATTTCATTTGGTATTATATAGAAATAGTAAATGACTCTTTCTATTTGTCTTTGAGCAGCAGGGGATTTTGGAGAAAGCATCCTTGGAAGTGTACCCAACCACTTTGTTTACTTGTTGATAGACTCCGGCAACCAAACTGGTGATACACAGATCAACGCATTCGTGCAAGTGGATTATCGTCCATAATTTTATGATGTGCCAATTGTTCGCAGAAGTGCGCACTTAATTACGTTGCATACTGAAGTTTGGATCATAAAGAAAAAGAACCGTTCCAGTTTCAAATTTTAAATTCTTGTATTTCTTTTGCCTCTTAACACCCACATAAATAAGCTGTGCAGTTGTACCCTTAGGTACACGCACCAATTGAATAATCTGCATAAAGTCGTACCATACCATTAAGTTGGTAGTAATGCAGTAAATCTGTTCACCCCCCGGGATAAAAGCATAAATATCATAATTGGTCCATGAATTTTGCCAAATTGTTCCAATTAAGTCTCTAAATTATCAATTTCATATCAATTAAGTTCTTTCGTCCATTTTTGTCATTAGATCAATTGAATATTAGCTCAATTTGATTTATTTCAGTGTTGATTTAACGGTAAAAATAAATGGAATGACTGAATTGAATAACATATAACAATAATGTGGTAAGTATAACATTGCTATACCAAGTTGTAAAATGTTTGTGGCATTACCCCAAAAATGTGGTGAATGTTGTGTACTATGCTTTTGGATGCTGTTACTTAAGTACCAAACGGGTATAAATTGTAATGGCTTTAAAGAGTATGCTTTAAAATTTGGTAGTTTAAGTTCTGAAATTTTCAATTTGCAATTAAAAATTGAATAAGAGTTTTTGTAGGTAGAAAAAAGACTCAATAGGGTAAATTTAATTTGAATTTTAAAAAGCATGGGAACACGATGAGTTAATTTTTCAAAAGTTTGCATCGATGAAAAAATAAAAAGAAAAAAAAATTCTTTTTTCATTCAAGCTAAAAGTAAAATTATTAGAGTAGTGCGGATGAAAATGCCTAAGAGATTTAGAATTTGGGACGCCAAAATTGAACATAATAACAAAAATTCGAGGGGATATTGTGCATATTTAAAATTAAATTATGATCACGGTTTCAAATAAATGTGTAGTTAGATAATTCTCCCTTCAACCAAAAAAAAAGAAGAAGAAGAAGAAGAAAAGGACAAATTATTATTTATATTTGAAAATTTAATTTTTTTTATTTTTTATCCTCAAAAATTAATTTTTTTATATTATATCTTAATTTATTATGAGTGTTATAACGTGGTCCTTCTGTTAATTTTTACTATTCATTTCGTCAACATCAATAGAATATTTTTGACTGAATAAACAATAGAAGCTAATTGAAGGATTATATTATAATACTTTTAATATATTAAGGGTATAAAATAAAAAATCTTAAATCTTTGAGAGGGTACAAAATAAAAAATTTTAAATTTTTGAGGGTGAGAAATGAGATTCTCCCAAAAGAAAAACAAAGAATTCCGTGAAAAGAAGAGGTACACTTCACAATTTTATTTTATTTTTACTGCAGGTGTCCGGACACACTTCACATGTGCACAGAAAAGAAGCACAAAAAAAGTGTGCATAGGACTGCTATAAATGAATGCTAAACCAACGGTGTAGATACAACCACCAAAAAGCTCCAAGAAGCCCCAAATTCATCACAAGTCGTCTTTCTCTTTCCTTCTTCTCAATCGTTCGATCTCTCTTTCTCTCTCCACATTAGAAAAATCCAACTCCATATATCAATCCTCTCTCAAAGCGCGCCAAATACAAATCCTCCTTCTCTCTACTGTTTCTCCCTCTCCCTCTCCCTCTCCACAGGTAAATGCCCCTCGCTCCCTTTCTCTCTCTAAAACCTCTCGTTTGTCACTCTACCTGCACGGTCACGGCAGCAGCAGGGGTTAGGTTTTTTCCATATCTCTACGAATCACGTTGTCTGATCCTTTGTGTGTTATGAAGCTAGGGTTCCGGCGAGAATGGCGGAAGCTCCGGGGAGTCCGGCCGGCGGGAGCCACGAGAGCGGCGGAGATCAGAGCCCTCATTCCAACGTCCGAGAGCAAGATCGGTACCTCCCGATCGCCAACATCAGTCGCATCATGAAGAAGGCCTTACCGGCTAACGGCAAGATCGCCAAGGACGCCAAAGACACCGTTCAAGAATGTGTCTCCGAGTTCATAAGCTTCATTACCAGCGAGTATGTAACATTAGCTTCAAGAATATATGTATATGTGCCTATTGAAATAGCTGATCATAGACTACAATTTTATTTATTTATACGCACGCATGTAATATAGGGCGAGTGATAAGTGTCAGAAGGAAAAGAGGAAGACGATCAATGGAGATGATTTACTGTGGGCAATGGCGACGTTAGGTTTTGAAGATTACATTGATCCGCTCAAGGCGTACCTAGCTAGGTACAGGGAGGTAATTTTATTTTAATTAGGATATTGTAATGTTTTGGCATTTTCTGCACAATAAAAATAAAATTTGTGATTTCATTTGCTCTCTGGCTGGTTGCTGAGGATGAGTGTCTGAAAATATTGATTGTTTGAGTCCTATGTGTTTTGTTCAGTTATTTTACTTTTATTTTGCAGTTATAGAAAGTATTTATTTACTTTTTTTTTAATGGTAAATGACACTTAAAATGCTTTCATAATTTTGGCCGAACAGTAGGTTTGATTTTTTAACAACTACCATGAACTCTATATTTCATGTTGCTGGTTGTATTTGATTGTTTATATCGTTGGATTGTACTATACGTTTAATTTGCTGGTTATTTGCATGTCCTTATGAGATTGATCTAACACCTTGCTTGTTTGTGTGTGGGGTGGTTTTGACGAACAATGATGATTCACAGTTAGAGGTTTGCAAACACCTTCCTTCCAATATATTATTTGTTTGATTTTTTTTCTTTTATTCAACTCTGTTGGGATGGTTGGTATGCTGATAAATGTGTCCTTTTTTAGGGAGACACTAAGGGATCTGCTAGGGTTGGAGATGGATCTTCTAAGAAGGATACAGTTGGATCTCAGCTTGTTCCAAATGCACAGGTGTAGTACCAATGTGCTCTTTTCAGTATTTAGTTTTTGGACATAATGAAATTCTACTATTTTAGACCACAGATAAAGAGTTTACTCATAAATGTTTGTTGCTTTGTTTTATTTTCGCAGTTTGCTCATCAAGGTTCTTTTACACAAGACATGAGCTATGTGAATTCCCAAATTTGAACCCCCAAGTAATCTCTCTCTCCCTCTCTTCCCCTGCTTGAGGTTTGGTTTTTTAATAAGAAAAAGGAATTTCAACTACTATTATTAGGGCATAGAACAGCTTGGGGGGTGTTCTTCCTCAGAAGATTGGGTTGTTTATTCCTTATTTGCCACGTTTCTCTTTTGGAATAGCGACAACCTCAGTTAGGAATTTCGAATGCTCGTGAAAAATATCCAACACACAACTTTCCTTCTTATAAGGAAAGAGTGAAGTTCCTATGTGGCGTTGCATCATTAAAATCAAGGTTTATAATTACTTATAAGGCTCTAATGTGGTTTGTACCCAAAACATTTTGTTTTGGTTGCATTAGACGAAGCCCATTATGATGATTCCTGCATCTGCATATATCGCTTCTTTTGTTTAAATTTTCTCACATCTTATTTTTCCTGTTAAAAATTGTAAAACATGTTAATAAATTAATATGGACCTTGATTGAATTACTTTTAATAATTTAACTTAACTTCATGTTATGAGAAAGTTATACACATACTTTGAGTTCTAGTGCGAAGTGGTCTCTCACACCTCCCCTGAAATTCTTTTTACTTTTTGAATGGATATGACTAAAGAGGTGCCCGAGACGCCTATGTTAGTACTGTCGGAGAAGTGTCAACATGGTCGAGTGGCCATTTTAGAGCGTCTGTGGTTCCTAGGTCCCACTCTGCGTTGGATGTAACAATTACACGGCCCCATGTTACCACAGTTGAAAGTTGCCTTGATATATTGCCTTTTAGGGGTCTTGGGGCCTTATATAGCTCTGCCTCAGTTTTGGATTGGTATGGCCATGTCGGACCAGGAGCTTTATTGTTGTCTTGACGTATGACTGCACACTGATACTGTTTGCATGATCTCTAAAATCATATGATGCTTTTTAGAGCTATTTCAGCATAGTATGCAGCCTGACATGGTTAAATTGCTGTCCCTTAAGTGTGCAGCTGCTTATGACCGAAATGACAAGAAAATGGTACCTTGTTCTCATAGGTGGTGCTACCTGATGACATATATGTAGTCCACTTGGTATACATCCTGACTGAATCTTGAACAATCCTTTGTCCTTGAACCTGGTGGTGAAGGGTCATAAATGATAGTTTTGATTATACAAGTGAAAAAGAAAGAGTGAATATTATTCAAGCTAATAGTCTGCTCACTGTAATCATTAAGAATACCATCAAAAAGACTATAATAAAGACCCTTTATAGTAGGGTAACAAAATACTAGAAAATATCTAAAATACCCCTAACACTAAACTACTCTTAACACCCATTCTCAAATTCATGATGTTGTAGCAGAAAATATCAAGAGTTTGTTAAAAAGAAAACGAAAGCGTATAATGGTGTGAAACTTCGTAAAGAAATCCACCAACTACATAGTCGAAGAAAGGAAAGGGAAGAGAAATAGTGCCCAGTTGAAGATGATGTCGCATAAAGTGGCAGTTAATCTCAATATATTTTATACGCTCATGAAATACTGAATTGTGGGCGATCTAAAATGCACTTGTGTTATCACAATACATAGGGGTAGGAGCAAACAAAGAGATGCCAAGATCAGCAAGTAACCATCGCAACCATACTATCTCAGCTGTGGTGGAAGTCATAGAACGATACTCAGCCTCAGCATAAGAATGAGCAATCACAGTTTGTTTTTTGCTTTTCCACAAAATAAGAGAATTACCAAGGAAGACACAGAAGTCAATTGTGGACTTACGATCAGTAGAGTCGCCAACCCAGTCCGCATTAGAATAGGCCTTGAGTTTCAATGAAGATGAAGAAGAAAATAATAGATGTTGATGCAATGTATCTTGAAGGTAACGAAGAATACGGATAACAGCAGCCCAGTGAACCATGATAGGTGAGGCAACAAATTGACTAACAATATGGACTGCATAAAAGATGTCTGGGCGTGTGACAGTAAGATATACCAAACTTCCAATAATAGTGCGATAGAGTGTAGAATTTGATAATGGAACGCCATTAGAGGAAGAATAACGAACATTGAGCTCTAAGGGTGTCTCAATTGTCCGTGTGTTTGATAATTGGGCTAGTTGGATAATATCTGAGGCGTATTTGGATTGAGATAAGAGATAACCCTTTTGAGAAGAATCAACCTCAATACGTAAGAAATATCAGAGCTAACCCAAATCCTTCATTTTAAAATGATCATGCAATTGACTCTTTAATAACAAAAAATCAGCAGTATCATTACCTGTAATGATCATATCATCAACGTATAATAGAAGTATGATATATCCTGTGGGAGATGATCACAAAAAGAGAGCAGAGTCATGGGCACTAGCACGAAAACCTAAGTCACAAATCACTGAAGAAAATTTGGCAAACTATGCCCTAGGAGTCTGCTTAAGGCCATATAATGCCTTGTGAAGTTTGCACATTTGACCAAGACTATGAAGTAAACCAGGAGGAGGAGCCATAAAGACCTCTTCAGTTAAATCTCCATTAAGAAAGACATTTTTCACATCCATTTGAGAAAGACACCTTTGATGGCTTATTCACTGTACGAACAGTGGTCATCTTAGTAAGAGGAGCAAATGTCTCTTCATAGTCTATCCCATACTCTTGAGCAATTCCTTCGGCCACCAATCGGGCCTTGTATCGTTCCAAAGGACCATCAAATTTGGTCTTGATTTTATAAACCCACTTACAACCAAGCGTGTGTTTCCCAGAGGGTATTGACATAAATTTCCAAGTGCCAGTCTTGTGTAAAGCATCAAGTTCCTCATCCATAGCCTGTTTCCAAAGAAGATCAAGAATAGTCTCTTTATAGGAGGTAGGTTCAAAAAGAGTGTATAGAAGCTAAGAAAAAACAAAAATTATTAGAATAATAAGAATTAGAGAAATCAAACCGATTTGGACATTTACGAGATCGTTGAGGATAACGAGGAACATGATCCACATTGTTAGAACCTGACTGAGTGATAGTAGAGGAGGAGGGAGGCACTGCATCTGTAGAAGATAGCATTGGAGTTCTGCGAGCATAAGTATATACAATACGGGACGAATGACAGAGAAATCAGAAGTAGAAAGCACGTCAAAAATAACCATGTCATTAATATAGGTGTCAGAGGGAACATCATACGGAAATGGGTCATTATCGCGGTAAGAACTGTTTTCTCTCAAAAAGAATTTGGGACATTTGCAGAAAGCAAGAGAGAACACGTTGTCTCCATAATATGTCGATGTTTGCGCTCTACTACACCATTTTGTTTAGGTGTGTCAGTACAAGAAGGTTGACAAACAATGACATTAGATTTTAACAGATCATGAAAGGAATTGTAAGAATATTCATCTCCTTGGTCACATCGAAAGCATTTAATAATATAGGAATATTGAATACGTATCATAGCACGAAATGCAGTGAAGATAGAGAAGAATTCAGAACGATGCGTCATTAGATAGACCCAACAATACCTGGTATTGTCATCAATGAAAGACACATAATATCTTGACCCTCATTTTGTAGGAATAGGAGCAGCTCCCCGTACATCCGAATGAACCAGATCAAAAGGTGTATTAGTTGCGGAGAAATAATAGATCCAACACCGACCAAGGTCATTTGAGTACCATTGGCCGCGAGAACAGATGCAGATGGAGGAGAGAAGGTAAACACAAATAATGAAGAATCACATGTGATGTGATGTATAGCATCTGAGTTAAAGACCCAGGTGGGGCGAGATATAGCTGAGGGCCCTGAAGTGAACGAGAGGATGTTGAAGAAGCTTTTGCAACTTATCAACAATCATAGTCTGAAGAAAATCAGTGTTTTCACTTTCCATAATTGCAATTAATCCAAAATTATCGCCTAAAACTCCAAGGCGTAATATAAGAATCAATAACCAGTAGCCAAGACAAATGGCCCAAGCTAATAACAAGCTCAAAGCCCAATTTACCAAGTAGCAACCGAAAAGTAGTGAACCCAATATTCAATCCAAACTTAAAGACCAACAACCCACAGTGCAAGAAACATAATTACCCCCAACCCAAAGGTAACAAATCACAAGGCCCAACTCAAGTCGGTGCACAATTCAACAACAGAGGCAAACAAATGATCTGTTGAGCAAGAGGTCTGAAATCGGAGGCGTGAATACAAAGGGCAAACCTGAAATTCTGAAGCAAGAGATAGCCAAAATCAGCAGTCCAACAATCTAGTAACAAAGTCAAGACCCACAGTACAAGAGCCGACACCCACAAAGCAAAAATCCACCAAAATTGCACCAAATACAGACCAGGAAACTTCAAGGAACACAATTGATCCTCAAGGAGATGGAATCGTACCAGACAGACGTGGTTTGAGGCAAAAAACTCAACTGAATCAACCAAGAATCACAACATCTGTGCACAACCAGGTGTGCTGAGTCACAAAATCACCTAAAACTCCATCCCAAAAGAACTCAAGGGTCTCGAATTTCTTAACTGAGTGTTCAGATCCCTTAGTGGGATCCCTCTTGTGTGATTTGAAGCAGCAAAAACAAGAAAAAGTAAGAATACATCGAAAAATTGTCTCTTTTTCGAAAGTTTTTCAGAAAATCAGAAACTATATCAAACGACTTCGAAATCAAAAATGAAGCACACCATGTTGAAGCCCACACAAACTCGATCAGTATGGTGAAGGAGATGGCTCGATAATGATGACGTTATTGTCTTCACTGATGATGTCAGGAATGGTCGAACTCTTATTCTTCTCCCGATGAACAATACTATATTTCTAAAGGTGAGGACCAAAACCAAGCTCTGATACCATGATAGTTTTGATTATACAAGTGAAAAAGAAAGAGTGAATATTATTCAAGCTAATAATTTGCTCACTGTAAACATTAAGAATACCATCAAAAAGACTAGAATAAAGACCCTTTATAGTAGGGCAACAAAGTACTAGAAAATATCTAAAATAACCCTAACACTAAACTACTCTAACAATAAAGACATTTAGATGAACATGTGGCAAGAAA